GGCACGCACCCGAGGGAGGCCGACAGGGTGCTGAGCAGCCACTGGACCAGCAGGAAAACAAAGAACTTCGGCGCGGTCGCCTCGAGGTTGAGCATGAAGTAGCTGATGACCGAGAAGAGGAGGGGGAAGATGACACTGTATGGCAGCTCACTGGAGGAGGGGCGAGAGGGGGGCAGGGTTAGTGGGGGGAGGGGGGGAGGGGGATACGGCCTGATCATCAAGGGATGGATGGGTGCATGCGCGCGTGCGCACCTGAAGAACTTGGTCCAGTAATACTGGCCAGGCGAGTACATTTGGCTAAGCTGCTCGCGGCGGAAGTAGGCCACCTCCACCGGGAAGGAGAGGACATAGTTCATCATGGAGGACATGACGGCCGAGGTGATGAGGAAGAAAATACCACCCGCCCGGCCCTGGACACCGGTCTGCGTGAGGGTCGTGTTCCAGAAGAGCAGACCACACATGAGAGCCGAGGAGATGGTCTGGCCCAGGCGCGCGTAGAAGGTGACCGGGTTGCGCAGGAAGAGGCGGTTGCTTCGCCCGAGGAGGGCCTTGAAAACCACGCTCTTCGAGGGCTTCTCCGGCTTGGCCGGCTTGATGGGAGGCACGCCCTGTGGAGGTGCACAGGCACATTGGGAGTTGAGTGGATGGGCCGGATGGGCCGGATAGGGAGATCGAGCGAGGGAAAGATGGAGACAGGCCGGCCGAGAGGAGGGAGAAAGACAGACGCAGACATGGCCACATATCCGGGGGGCAGGTTGGACGTTAGCTTTCTCTCTCAGACACACACACACACACACACACGGAGAAAGGCGCGGACAGGAAGGGGCCCCGTGCGAGGGAGTGGGCGAACGAGGCTGAAGAGGCGAGAACAAGGGACGCCAAGGCAGCAAAGGGGGCTGAGAGCCGGCATACGCACATCATCGATGGCCTTGAACGGGGGGCACCGGTCGGTGATGGCCCGGATGCGAACCATATCCTCGTCCGTGTTGCTGTGCAGGGTCTTCATGAAGAAGTCAGAGGGGTTGGAGAAGGTCGGGCAGGGGTAGCCCAGGCTGTCGAAGTAGTCCACCGCGCGGGAGGCCTCCCCGCGGAAGGCAACCTGCAAACGGGAGGCGAGGAAGGGAAGCGGGGTCAGCACAACGACAGGCGAGCGACGGAAGCAGGCCAATTGCCAGAGAGACAAACAGAGAGAGAGAGAGAGAGGGAGAGGGAGAGGGAGAGAGAGAGAGAGGGAGAGAGAGAGAGAGAGAGACAGAGAGAGACAGAGAGAGACAGAGAGAGACAGAGAGAGACAGAGGCAGGAAGGAACACGCACCCGACCCCGGGCCACCAGCAGCAGATCATCGAAGAGGGCAAAAATGTCGGAGCTGGGCTGGTGGATGGTCGTCACCACGGTGTGCCCCTCGGCCGCCAGAGACCGGAGAAGCTCAATCAGGCTGAGCGCCATGAAGGCATCCAGGCCGGTGGTCGGCTCATCCAGGAACAGCAGGGCCGGGTTGGTGATCATCTCGTAGGCGATGGCCACGCGCTTGCGCTCACCGCCGGACAGACCGCGTCGACCACGCGAGCCACTGCCGGAACCGCCGGCCTGGCCGACCCGCGTGTCCGCCGACCGGGTCAGGCTCAGGCGGTCCAGCAGACGCTCCACATGGAAGCGGATGTCCTTCGTGGAGAGGGAGCTGGACAGGCGCACCCGCGCCGCGAAGGTCAGCAGCTCGCGCGGGGTCAGGCTCTCAAAGAGCAGGTCATCCTGCATCACATAGCTGGCCAGCAGCCGGAAGTGGCTGGGCATCGGCCCGCCATTGACCGTGACAGTGCCGCCGCGCGTGCGCAGACGCCCACTGATCGAGTCCAGCAGGGAGGTCTTGCCACCACCGGAAGGACCCATGATGGCCAGCAGACGGCCGGGCTGTGCCTGGCCGGACACCTTGTCAAGGATGACCTTTTCCACGGTCTTCTGACGGAAGAGGGGGCCGGTCTTGATCTGCGGGGTGCGATGGTGGCGGGGGGACGGGGGGGGGGGGGGGGGGGACGCACATCCACAACATGGACCAGATCCGTCCAGGTGAGAGTCACCTGGGTCGGCGGGGCAAAGGTCTGCCCGGGCATGGGGATGCTGACGGCGCCCGGGGCGAGGCGAGCTTTGTCGGGGAGGGCGGTCCCCCGGGCCACGGGGATGGCGACGTGGCCAGACTTCTCGGGGTTGGAGGCAACCGACCCGGTGGATGACCCGCCAGACAGCCCGGAAGAGGACCCAACCACGGCCGGGGCGTCGGCCGTGGGAGGGCTATCCAGGGCGACAGCCGCGGCGATGGAATCCATCTCTATGACGTGGGCACCCTCGGTCATGGTGGGATGCGGATGACAAGCGACGAGGTGGCTGGGAGGGGGGGGGGGGGGGGGAGGACAGGAGGGGAGGGACAGCCGGGCGGCCCCCTTCGCATGACATACCCGGCAGTGGGGCGGAAGGTGTCCAGCAGGGCGCGCGCCAGGGTGGACCCGGCCTCGGGGCGCGGGCGCTCCAGGCGCCCGGGCGGAGGATCGTCCGCCCCGGCGGCCGCCTGCTGCCGGAGAAGAGCCTGGGTCACGCGGTCCGCATGCTGGCGCAGGGCCCGCGCCCAGGCGCCATTCAGCCGGCGCTCGTCGACCGTCACCGCGGCCACCCGGCCGTCGGCCGTGCAGAAGGACCGAAGGAGCCCGGGCCCGGCGGGCCCCGGGGCGCCCTGGTGCGGGGCCAGGTCCGCCAGCAGCCGGCCCACCGGCGACGCCTGGATGTCGGCCGTGGTGTCCGCGGCGCCGGGCCCATCGGCCGCCAGGGCGCGCTCCAGCAGCTGCCCCTGCAGCGGGTCCAGCACCACCAGCAGGTACTCAACCGGGCGCGGCCAGGCGCTCTCGGCCAGCGACAGGGCCTCGAGCTTTCGCGTGTCCGGGGCCGTGTCGGCCGGCGGCAGGGCCCGCGCCGCGCGCAGCAGGCACAAGTCCGACGACTCGTTGCGGGACACCGGGCCCGGGAGGGCGCCAAGCAGGTTGTTCATGCCAGGCGGTTCGGAGGGGGAGGGGGGAGGAGGATGGGAGGGTGTGCGGGCGGGGGCAAGAGGGGC